GCTCTCCGTCACTTATGTCCCACCTATGGAGCTGGACTGGGTTCACAAACCTCCTAAGGAATAGCTGAAGTTGGCTTTGGAAAAAAATTGGCTGCAGGTGCTATTACATTTCCATAGGAGTCGCTTTGCCGTAGATGTGTGAGGATTCGAGGTGTCGTCCCCAGAATAGTTTTCTGGTGCTGGAGCTTCAGAAGAATCCCTTTGATGATTTCAGAAACCACACAAGCTGTTCTTTAATGAAGTGGTCTCTGGTGGCTTCTGGATTGAAGCATGTTACTTGCAGAACCTTTTTCATATCTGAATTCTCATATCCCAACAACACCCATCTGTCCCAATAGGTTAGGAAGGGAAAACATTAAATTTCTCTGAAATATATGTAAAATCATGTCTATATGGATAAAACCAAACAAAGCTGTCTTAGAAGATAGCCATAGATTTTTCATTTAAAAATTCTTTAATACATAATATTTCGAGCATACAGAAAGTTATAAACAATAACACAACGAATCCCATGTATTCTCAATAGAGTTTAATAAAATCTTAACCTTTTGCATATTTGCTCAAAAATTATTTTAAAAGATTAAATATCACAAGTAGAGTTGAAGTATACCCTTCCACGATACTCTCCCCACTAAAAAAAAAAAACAAAAACAAAAAAACAAAAAAACTACAATACTCCCCCCACTAAAAAACAAAAAAAACAAAAAAAACAAGAAAAAAAAACCCCTCATCCAGAATTTATTATTCCTGTGCCTATATCATTTGATTATCGCGTTTGTATGCACCCATAAAATATCTAATATTTTGGTTGTCGTAAAAGATAATGAAAATGGTGTTAGATGGTGTATATCTTGTTGCAACATGCTTTTCTTGCTCAGCATAATGTTAAGCGTTGTTTGCAATAGCAGAGAAAAGGGAAAACCACCTTCGATCATTAGATATCCCGTGACACATCTGTATAATAGATTTCTATACAGATGTTAAAAGGCACAACATCTTTCCAAGAGCTACCTTTATATTTGAACAGAATTTCTTTTGCCATACATCAGCAAACTCTCTGTGGGTGTTTTTGTTTTGTTTTGTTTTGTTTTGTTTTGTTTGTTTTGTTTTGTATTTTAAATCTCATGATGAGAGAGCTGGACTATTTTTATATAATCAGATAAGCTCTGTATTTAATATCAGAGTTTAAGCCATTTGCAATTATTATTATTACTGATATATAATTTTCTGTTTTGGACTTGACTCTACAATCTAATTTCATATTCATTCTTTCTTCTTTGCTTCTTTTTCTTTCTTTCTACCTTCTGTTAAGGCAATACATTGTCTATATTCCCTTTGTTATTCACTTGCTGACTTAGATGTCATAGGTTATATTTAAATTATTTTACTGATGATTCTCTGTGTTCAAAAGTTTTTTAAAAAATTACAAAGTTCTGCCTAAGGACAGAATAGACCTTAGTACTCCTTAACTCCCTATTGAATAACTCTCATTCCATCCATAGCTTCTGTTTCTTGTTTTAACAGAAAATTTGGACATTATTTTTATGGTGACCAGTTACTCAAATTTACCAGCATGTTTTATTTACTTGTGTGTGCACCATTAATTCTTGTATCTCACATCTTGTTTTGGGGTTCACTTTTCACCTCATTGACGTATATCCCTTAATATTTCTTTTAGTGAAGTCCATGAATGGTAAGTTATATCACTGTATACCTGAAAATACTTTTACTTTGCCTTCACTCATAACTGATAATTGAGCTATTTTATCTATTACCTTGTTTTTCTGCTGCACATGAAAGATATGTCTCACTGCCTTCTGGCATTTACTATCACCAATGCAAATTTTGCTCTCAATCGGTTGTTATTTGATTACAGGCAACATGCTTGCAACTTCCCCGAACATAACCAGCTTCTCATGGCATTTAAGATTTTCTCATTCTTGATGTAATTTTATCTAAGAAACCACTGCCTAATCCAAGGTCATGAAGATTTATCCCCATATCTTCTTGGAAACGTTTCTTGGCTCATGCTTTCATTTCTGATATGGTTCCCTCTCTATGTTGTATTTGGTATAAGGTCCCGAAGACTATCTTCCAACGTTCATTCTCTTTTCAGCATGAGTTTTTCTTCCTCTTTTACGTTTGTTTTAATTTCAGATTTTGAGTTGCTTCTGTTGCACATCTCTGTTCTTGTTTTGCGTCCGCACAATTTTACTTTATTGTTTTTTAAGGATTATTATTTCTCCATTTGGGTTTTTGAGTATCCTTAAACATGGTATTTTAAATTGTTGCACAGCCTGCAGAAGAGCTTGAGGTAGAAGTGCCTGAGTCAGAGGGAGGTGACATAAAGGTAGGAAGGAGTAGTGAGCGGGCCACCGTTGCGAGTGTGGTGGAGGGTGTCTGCTAGACTAATTACGTTAAGTGGTTAATTACGTCAAGTGTTTTGAGAATTACCCACTCTGCCTCTACAGAATTAGGGGTGGTCATAAGTAAGAACTTAAGACACCCAATATGGGGCCAGTTTAGACTCCCAAACTAAGCGCAAAGACAAGGTGGCTCAGACTCTGACTCAGAGGCCTTGGAGACCCAGCAGGCCAGTGCCAGGTGGGAACCAAGTCACCTCTGTGTATTCTTGTAGATGTTCAGGATCAAGTCAGAGCTCCCACCTGACCCTGGGATGCTGCGACCTCCCAAAGAAGAGCTAACACCATCACTACACACTGGAGTTGCTCGGCTTAGAGCTGTTTTCCTCTTAATGTGTATTGTCCCGAGGGTACAATCACCACAAGCAGGGACGAGATGAAAGGGGCTTCTAGAGATCATGAAGCAAGATCAATTCAATACTAAAAAGTAAGTTAGTATAGTTGATGAAAATCCAAACTTGAAAATGAGCCTTTTACTGAGGACGGTTGCTTTCTATATAGTCATAAAATTAAAACGGACAGCGCTCACTCACACATCCATGCACCGAGGCTTATAAACATTAACAAGGACCCCACATGTGCTCGTCACCTTGGCGGGCATTGAGGCAAAAAATGAATGAGAGTTCCCACCCTTGAAAAAGCCACCTCCCAATGGGTAAAGGGGCTTCTAAGCAAATCATTATAAGTCATATTAATTCTACCTAGATGATTTGGAGGGACTTCAGAAAGCAGGAAACCAGGAGGGGAAAAGGGCAAGGAGTGTTTCAGGGAGAGCGGCAGAAGCGAGACAGTTCAAGGGCTACTCAGTGGACACTGAGTCCCGTTCTCAAACGGGATGGGGAAGCTGAAGAAGTTAAGGTTGAAAAAGCAGATAGGCACAGGTTATATTTCATCTAAACTAAGATGCCACTGGTTATAAAGTGAACCATTATTTCATGTACAACCAAGAACAAAATGCTGCAAATTAAATTACAACACACCATCGATTGTAAAACCTTCCTATTTCAATGGGGCCAAAATGCACTGTCTCTCTCAGAGTGGATAAAACACGGTAATTCCCCAATGAAGAAATGTAAAAGATAAGCTAACATTAGAAAACAAATTTTTTGCAAAATAGGTAAATATAAACCAAAGATGGGTACAATTCTTCCTCGCCAAATGAGTAGAGTATTGAGGTTAGCATCAGCAAGAGCATAGTGTAATGGTGAACTCACCACCAGAAGTATGAAACAATACTGCCTTTCTGGAACCTACTTTGACTATCATGTATCACGAACCTAAATATGTACACATTCTGTGAGCTCGTAATCCTACTGACTGGAATCTATCTTATATCCATAGAGAGATTTATGCACAAGAATATAAGGTTATTATATTAAAATATATTTCATCTTATATTAATTATATTTTAACTAATTAAATATAATTAATGTATTATATTAAAACATATATTAAAATACAAGCTACATTAATGGCAAATTAACATGCAGTTGACCCTTGACCAAGGCAGGGGTCAGGGGTGCCAACTTCTTGGGCAGTCAAAAATCCACGTATAACTACAGTGTAAATAAATTGTGGTATAATCACATGGAATGTTAGTCAATCACTAAATTTTTTTAAAAAAGGTTTAATAGCGTGGGGGAAATCTCATGATGTAATGTTAAATTTTAAAAGGGAGAAAAGAAAACCCCACATAGAGTATAATACCAGTCCAGGGGGAAAAGCACCCAATGAAGACTGGAAGGAAAAGTAATCTTGATTTGCTCTGAGTGGTTGTATTACTGGCAACATTTTTCCTTCTTATAATTTTTATTATTTTTTCTACTATGTTCATATTTACTTTTTAGAAGCTCTTCTTTCTCCCAAACAAATGTGTTTTTCCAAGTTCTACTCGGAAAAATTAAATTGTGGTAGAGAATGTAAGCTTATGCATGGAGACTGACCAACACAGGTGTCTCTCATATTAAATAGCGATTATATGAAATCATCATAAATGCATCAAGTTTTCTGCTAAATATTAGATGGGATCCAGTATAGATTGTGTATGACCTCCATATTCTCCAATGGTGACATTAGTTATGAGTACCGCTGTGAGTCAGAAGTATGCTAAATTGATAAGCATGATTTCTAATCCCTATCATTACACAAACTAATGAAAAAATAGAACATCAAGAGGCTGCATAAGCACAGTGAACTTGCACAATTTGAACATGGCAGAGCTGGGATCTGAACCCAAGTTCCTCTCTCATGAAAGGCTCACACTCCCCCTACAACGTCTGTCTCTCAAAGAAGTACTTACAAAGCATGTCTAGACCAGGTCAACATCAAAGAAGGTCAAGATGCTTTTCCCACCATCAGCAACCAAGAGAGATTGTGAACCAAATATGGACATAATATGTCCATTCCTAAAGGAACTTTACAAATGTGGATGACAGAGGGTCTCTGATAATGTGGAGCAGACTGGACAAATAAGGAGCCAGATTTTCAGTTTATCAACTGTGACACTTAACTCCTGAGAAACCAGTCCTTTCTACTGTCTGCGATCGCTAAGATCATGGCGCAATGGCATTTACCCACCTGGCAAGGTGAGGCGACTTGTGGAGCCAGTGCTTGGGGCCGGCGAGCCGTGAGAACGCTTCTTTGTGCCTATAAAGAGGAAAAAGAGGATAAGAAACAGTAGGATTGTGGACAGACTTCTAGGACAGGCAACTAACTACTCAGCGGAAATATTATCAAATGATCCACAAGTTTGGGTCTGGAAACGACATTTAGAAGAAGGTTGGGTGAGATTGTGAGAACAGTCCATGGTCCAGAAAGGCCAGGAGCACAGCCTTTAGCTCTGTGCGCCTGGTCGTTCTCAGCCTCCTGATTGGCAGGTGGGTCTATCAGGACAAACACACCACCGAGCAGGGCTGCTTTTTGTAAATATTCATTTGCCTGAGTGCCAATCTGTTTTCATCATACTAGAGTAAAGCTCCAGCATCGGTATTTTTAAAGCCCCCCAGATGACACTAATGTACTTCCAGGGTGAAGAAGTGCTGCTGTGGAAGGGAAAGTTCTGGATTTCGAACCGAGGAATCAGGGGCTGGTCCCTACAGCCTTTACTCACTAGTGGACCTCACTTGTTCAACTGCAGAAAAAGGGAAGTAACAATAATGTCAAAGTGTTCTGCTGAGGATTGCAGGAGCCGAGGTGCGTGACAGCGTTCAGGAAGTGTGGGAGACCCAGATGCTACGGTACTGGGGTCTCTGCGCACCCCACAGCTGGCCTCCAAATTCCTATTAAGAAAGGGATTATCTTTGTTCATATAAACAATTTAGGGGACCTCAAGGGAATGAAAAGGCAGCTCCAGTGTGGGGATCAGGAAGGAAAGGGCGAAATGAAGGAATAGCTGGATCGTCCTGCAAAAGAATATTTACCTCTGTGCATTTGTGTGTAATATACACACACATACGTACATATATATTTTATTTTATTTTATATATAAATACATATACACAGACATGCATATATACACACACGTACAGATATATATTTTATATATAAATATAAATATTACTTATTTGTTCATTCATTTCTTTATTCCGCCATCCAGACTGGGGCAAAGAGGCCCAGAGGTCAGAATCTAGCAACACGGCAGATGCTAGGGGTCTGAGCTGGCAGAAATGCAGACATAATTCTTAGGCAGATTTACATAATTCAATGTGAAGCGATTTCTGTTACAAGTCCCCTGACCCTACCCAAACTTTTCATAGAAAAGTTGACTTTACACGCAGAAGCCTGCTGGGAGCGAAGGTTGTGTTACCAGGGAAAACTCTGCCTGAATCAACATGGCCATGGGTAAATGTCACAAGATGACGCATCAACTGACCAACATCAGGGGAAGCAGGAACTTGGGGTTAAG